ATTGGTCATCCAAAGTCAACCCGCTCAATCTTCTGCGGTCACCAAGCCCTTCCAAATCTGGTCCATCTCACGTGTCAGGCGCGTCATTTTGCTCTCAATATGTTTCATAAAGCTCATATAATATTTTTATCCAGGCATAAATCTTCCAACGCGTCGCCAACTTGAATTGCTGAGTGACGACGACGACGATCAGCTGCCAGCCTTGTCGAGTTTCAAGCGCCCTCGAATTAGTTTACCGGTCATGCCTAACTCAAGTGCCAGCCTCTTGAGTGAAGTTTCATCCATATTAGACTCAAAAGGTCCAAGTCGAAGGCATCCGCGAAAGTCACCCTCCCCACCAGTCACGAATTCCAACACAACCACGACGAGCGCGACGGTCACTCCTTCCAAAGCACCAATGTTTCAATCCAACACTCCTATCTCGAAAAAGGAACGCGAGACGACAGTCAGGTCAATCTTGAGGGAACCAAATACCCCTGGTACCGGCCAAAGTGTCCGCTTCTTCTCCAAAGACGCTTTCAGGGTTATAAGCCCCAACCCATCTACTTGTACTAGTCCCGAGACATCACCGGCTTTCATTGACGAAATCGATCAACTTACAAATACTGAAGAACACGACGATCGCTCAGACCCTCATCCATCGTGTTCTGGGTTTGGATTAGACAGCAGGCTCAATTTGGCTTCCAAATCTACCTCAATAATCCTTCCAGATTCGTCGCATAATGGAACAAATTTATTCGACATGTCCTTGGACATGCCAGCCATACCCACTCCCGAAGACGCGGGTAACATGCTCTCGGACGATGCAATGGAGGTTCCAGAATTCGATATTGCACAACCAGATGTCCCGTCAACTCGAAGGATACATGTATCCCTTACTCCTGACAATTCAAATGGGAGTTTACAGCTCGAGTCGAATGGGTCTTTCCAAGCTACAAAGCCTCCCGCCCGTATTCCCTCCACCTCTACCACGAGTCCCAACGGTCCTCAAAATATCACGGCCGTTCCCAGTCCATCTACCAGTGACGAGATTCGACCAGAGCCCAAGAGGTATTGGTCTACTGGTGGGCTGTTTCCGACTGGTTTGTTTGGTCGACGGGTACCCAGTTCGGTGACAGAGGCTCAGGCAGACATCATCAAAACACTTCGCGAAGAGCTCAATCTGCAAAAGGAAATCAGCTCACGATATCAAATGGACCTCGACAGCCGAGACGCCCTCGTTGAAATCCTTTCTGCTCGTGTCGAATACGCCGAAACTGAACTAGAGCAGTGGATGAGCGAAGAGGATGGCCAATATGCTCTTATTCAGGACTTTAAGAAGCAGCTTTACAGCCTAGAACGCTCCTGTGGTCAACTCCGAGCTACCGCGGGGATCAACAGAGACGAAGAATTGTCGGAGATAAGTATCTCAGACGCAGCAAGTCAACAGGCTCTCAAAACGCTACGGAATCGCATCAAGCATCTCGAAGAGCAGAACGACCTGTTGCAAAGAGAATCAGAGCAGAACATCCAAGCGTTGGCCTATGCAAGGGGAGAAGTGGACTTGTTGAAGTCCCATCTTGACCAAGACGAATACACCGAAGGAAGCAACATCTTGCGGGTTCTCGAGGAACGCAGTAATCTTCGCGAGAAGGTTACTGATCTTGAAGCAGCCGATGAATCCCAAC